ACAAAAGATTAAATAAATATTAGTGTTAAGCTTAAAAATCATGAAATAACTAATAAACATATAACTAATATGAATACTTTGATTGAATTAGAAACAAGTTTGCAACTAAATAAAATAATGGATAAAAATATCCAAGGACAAATTAATAGAGAGAAAGAATATTGGCAAAATGTATTAGTAAGAACTATTGCCGTTGTAAAGAATTTTGGTAAAAATAATTTAGATTTTAAGAAAAAAATGAAAAGATATATCAAGGAAATAATGACAAAATTTTTAAGTTTAATTGAAATGATTGCGGAATTTGATCCGATAATGCAAGAACACGTTTGTTGTATCCAACAAGATAGAATTCATAACCATTATCTTGGATATAACATACAAAATGAATTGACAAGTTTGTTAGGAAATGAAATAAGAAGCAATATTATTAAAAAAGTTAAAGAAGTAAAATATTATTCAATCACATTTGATTGTACTCCTGATGCAAGTCATCAAGAACAAATGTCTCTCATATTACGATACATAGATATTATAACAAGTCCAATAAAAATTGTGAGATCCTGGTGTCTCACATCGGTTAGGAAGGGGAAAGTGACTAGACTTGTTAATAAGCCCCCTGCCTTATATGACATAAGCCCTTCCAGTAAGGGGTATTCGTAATGGGAACAAAGCCTTGAGGGGGAGGGGTACTCTTGCCAAAGAGAACAATATTATATGGTGGGTGGGCCACTATGCTTCACTACTCTAATAGGGGTGGACGGGTGTCGCCACTCTCGTATAAGACCTTTTCTCAGGAATACTAGGAGGAACAAAGCTGTGAGGGCCAGTGGGCCCAAAGCGGACAATATTATGCCATGTGGAGGGGGGTGTTACAAGTTGGTATCAGAGCTGACTCTCGCCTGGATCGAGTGTGGGCCTCTGACGTGCTCGTGGGTAGTGGACGGGCAGGTAGTTGGCGAGCTGTTGCACGGGGATGTGCAGCCCTAAGGGGGGTGGATTGTGCGATCCTAGTGTCCCACATCGGTTAGGGAGGAGAAAGTGGCTGAGCTTATTAGTAAGCCCCTTCCCTTACATGGCATAAATGCCTTCCAACGAGGGGTACTCGTAATGGGAACAAAACCTTGAGGGGGAGGGGTACTCCTGCCAAAGAGGACAATATTATACGGTGGGTGGCCCATTGCGCTGCGCTACTCTGATGGGGGTGGGCGGGTGTCGCCACTCTCGTATAAGACATTTTCCCAAGAATACTGTGAGGAACAAAACCGTGAGGGCCAGTGGGCCCAAAGCGGACAATATTATGTCATGTGGAGGGGGTGTTACAAAAATAGAAGAATATTTTTTGGAGTTTATTAAAGTAGATGATACGAGTGAAAAATGTTTATTTGATAAACTTATAGATGTAATAAGTAATATTGAACTAGATATTAATGATGTATGAGGACAAAGATATAATAATGAATCTAATATGAACGGAAAATATCAAGGTGTACAAAAAATGCTACTCAATATAAATCCTAAAGCATTTTACACACCATGTGGTTGTTATAATTTAAACTTAGTACTTTATGATATGACTAACTCTTGCCCCAATGCCATATCATTTTTTGGAATAAACAACGCATACATTCATTATTTTCTTCTTTTTACAAAACGATGAAAAATTTTACATGATAATGTTCAAGGTTTAACTCTTAAGTCATTATCACAAACACATTGGGAAAATCGTGTTTGAAGTGTTAAAGTAATAACATTTCAAGCTCCAAGAATAAGATATGCATTATTGCAATTAGCAGGAACTAGTGAAGATCCTAAAACAAGAAGTGAAACTAATTATTTAGCAACACATGAGATTGAAAATTTTGAGTTGTTATTGGACATAACTATTTGGTATGATATTTTATTTTTTGCCAACTTAGTTAGTAAATATTTACAATCAAAAGACATACATATTGATATTGTTATATATCAATTAAAAGGTCTCATTTTTTTTATTTTTGAAAAATATCGGGAAAGTGGATTTACAAATGCTATGATTTCATCTAAAGAGATTTCATGTGAAATGGGTATAAAACCTATATTTCATTAAAAACGTAGAGTTCATAGAAAAAAATAATTTGATAAAAATGTTGATGATGATTTAACACAATTTATTGAAGAATTTTTTAGAATTGATTATTTTACATATATAATTGATCAAGCTATTTCTTCACTAAAGAGTAGATTTGAACAATTACAAAAGTACAAAATTATTTTTCGTTTTTATTTAACTTAGAAAAATTAAAATTATTGACCAATGATAGTTTAAAACAATATTGTTTGGCTTTCGAATGTTCTTAAAACATAAATTTTTTTCGATATTGATGGCTTAGATTTATTTTTAGAACTAAATGTTTTAAAAGAAATTTTACAAACAAAAGAAAATACTCTAATTGAGATACTAAATTATATAAAATAAGTTAGTTTTTTTTTTTTTTTTTTCAAATGCATGCATTACTTATAGAATATTATTAATAATTCCTGTAACAGTTGCTTCTGCGGAAAGAAACTTTTCAAAATTCAAATTGATAAAATCTTACTTAAGATCGACAATGTCACAAGAAAAATTAACTAGATTAACGATACTATCAATTAAAAAATATATGGTAGCAAAAATTGAATATAAAAACTTAATTAATATTTTTGCAACTCAAAAAACAATAAACATTAATTATAAATAGAAAATATTAAAACTAAACATAGAATGCTTCATTTAGAAGTACCGTTTTACGCTCCAAATTATCTTGAGTCCCCGGAAGTCGAGTCAGTCTAAGGTACCATCAGAAGATTTCATGGCTACCCTCTTCCTCCTTTTCTCTTCATCCTCTTTCTCTACTTGCAAAATATAAAACTACCCCTAAACTTTTACTGGGAGCAAAGTTTAGAAAACTTTAAATGTTCCTAAGTATCAAATGTACCCCAAATTTTTTGGAAATTACAATTTCCCACTATAAATCCGCCCCCAGGGTCATGTCTTCATCCTGTACGCGACGTTATTTCATCCACAAGTAGGGGTGCAACTCGGGTGGGTTGGATTAAATCAACCCTAGGTATATAATATTCAACCCTAACCTTAACTCTAACCCTACCTCGGGTTAGGGAACTCAATCCGAGCACTGCCCAAATTTAATTCGGACAGCCTCGGGTTGAATTCGGATTGATGATTTCGGACTGATTTCGAGTTACTTTACAGTTCAATTCGGGTTTCATTCTGGTAGAACCCAAAATAGATTTGTTGTTCTAAATCTAATACATATATTATATAATATTCACCTAACTTAATAACTAATAACTTCAACCAAGTTTTTAACGAGAGAGGTTGAGAGAACGAGAGAGGTAAAGAGAATGAGAGAGACAGAGAACGATAGAATAAAAATGAAAAACTAGTGCTAGTACTTTATATATATAATACATATCTATATATATATAATTTTTTTTTTTAATTTGTTGGACTAGGGTTGAACTCTGGTTCACGAGGCCTTAACCCAAGTCCAACCCAAATTGAATTCAGGTTGGAGTTTTTTGACCCAAATCTAACCCAAGTATTAAAAACCATTGTCTAAGCCCTAATTTTTTCGGGTTGAGCTTGGGTTGAAATCGAGTTACTCAACCCAAGTTGCACCCCTATCCACAAGTTATCAAGAACCTAACACCTCAATGATAAATTAATCATTTGAATTACTAGCAAAAAAAAAATGATCATTGGAAAATGTTGCTTTGAATCTTTTGCCCACAAGATTTTGAACATCCGGGTGGGACTATTCATTCCCCGAGTTGCCGGGGGGAAAAAAATGAGATACAAATTTTGACTATTGCAAGATATTTCTTGTTCACATGTGCAAACCGAATTTGCAGTATTGTCGCAAAAGGCTATGGAAGAATATTTAGCAGATGGCCCACATCATGGTTACACAATTTATTAAATTCTTAACAACTTACGATCTTGGTACATCGATCTCAAACGAGGTGGATTCGCAATTCAAATCACCAAAATGGACAACCCAAAATTGTGATAGTAACTTTAAATTAATTCGTTTTACAACATATAAAACAAATATAAAATACGTATTAATTGACTTAATGTATATAGATTTATAATTATATTTTATTTTAGATAATAAAAAATTAAGTACAATTATAAGAGAAATAATAACTAACTTAGTGTTTATAAATGTTTTGTAATATATAATGTTGTGTAGTAGTGAAAACGATATACATAAGAGTTGTAATACGAATTGCGACAAAAAATATTGTATTAATTAAACCTATATTCATTGTATCGTACCATGTATCCGTACCCGTATCACNCGATATACATAAGAGTTGTAATACGAATTGCGACAAAAAATATTGTATTAATTAAACCTATATTCATTGTATCGTACCATGTATCCGTACCCGTATCACGTACTAAAGCGACCCACGGTCCAAATAACAATGTAACACATTTACTCAAATCTCTATGTGCTAGATGTAATATGGAGCCAGATTTTTTACAATTAAAACTCTCTCACCCAAAAGCAAAGTCAGAATGTATCGTAGTGGCTGCAAATTTTAACAAGAATAAGATATAAGAATTGAACTAATAATAAGTACATCTTGAATAACAATTAGTTACAATTTGAATTTCCTTTCATTTAAGTCTCTTTTGTCTTGAGTAAAAATTTGAATTTGAGTCTTTTTTCATTTGGTATGAGTTTGAGTAAAAGATTGAAAATTATTTTTAATTAAATTTTACTTAAATTTAAAATTGAGTAAGAACTAGAATACTAAGTATAATAGACATTTCTGGAAGACAATGGAAGCGCCTCAACTTTCTGTTCTCATTGCTACATTAATCTTTGAAAGATTTATTCTCTATCTAGAAATCATGATGTCTCTATAAATGTTACCTCAATTTCTCCGAGCATTGTCTGAAAAAATTAGAGCTTCTGCTTCCTACAAACCAGAGCTTTTGAAAACTCATGGCATTGTTCTCCCTAGTTGCTTGCTTAAACATCCTCTTCCTCTCATGTTCGGCTTTAGGCTTCTCTCTCGTGGCCACTACTGCCCTGAACGGGAATGAAACCGACCGGCTAGCACTGCTTGAATTCAAGGCCAAAGTAGTTGATGATCCGATGGGGTCTCTAAGCTCATGGAATGATTCCATCCACTTCTGCCAGTGGCTCGGTGTGATATGCAGCCGCCAACACCAGAGGGTCGTCGTGTTAGGCCTACAGCATCAGAAGCTCACAGGGTCCATATCACCCTACCTCAGAAATTTGAGTTTCTTGCGAGAGTTACTTCTTGATAACAATAGCTTCCATCAACAAATTCCACCAGAACTCGGGCATTTGAAAAGATTAAGATTGTTGTGGCTCAGGAACAATTCACTTGGTGGTGAAATTCCCACCAATATATCCAGTTGTTCTAAACTGGTTGAGGTTCGACTTTCTTGGAACATGCTAGTAGGGAAGATTCCTATGGAGTTCGGCTCACTGTCGAAACTCCAGCTGATTCAGGCTCCTAGAAACAGTCTAACAGGTGGTATCCCTCTTTCTTTTGGGAACTTATCATCTCTTGTGTTTCTTGGTTTTTCTTCTAACAGTCTAGTTGGAAGTATCCCTGATTCTCTAGGACAATTGACAAAACTAGAATACATTGGATTTTCTGAAAACAGTTTGTCTGGTACCTTCCCTCCCNTTTCTTCTAACAGTCTAGTTGGAAGTATCCCTGATTCTCTAGGACAATTGACAAAACTAGAATACATTGGATTTTCTGAAAACAGTTTGTCTGGTACCTTCCCTCCCACACTTTTCAATCTCTCTTCTATCACTACTATTTTTTGTGCCACTGAACCAAATCCAGGGGACTCTTCCATCGGACATGGGCTTCACTCTTCCTAATCTCAGTTACTTTGGCATTTCGGGAAATCGATTCACTGGTACCATTCCTTTTTCAGTGTCCAATATGTCAAATCTGGCATTTCTTTTCATTGATGGAAACAAACTCATTGGAAAAGTGCCTACGTTTGAAAATTTACATGACCTTCGTCATATAGACATCTCTGGTAATAGCTTGGGAAGTGGAAATGCCAATGACCTCAGTTTCATCTCATCTTTGAGGAATGCAAGTGGTTTACAAGAACTGGGTCTGAGTAATAACAATTTTGGAGGGGTATTGCCTGACTCTTTTGGAAACCTTTCAACTAAGCTTGTAGGACTGTCAGTAGGAAACAATCAACTCTTTGGGAGCATTCCAAATTGGCTTTCGATTTTTGCCAACTTCTCATATATTGACATGAGCAACAATCAATTCACAGGTAACATTCCCCATGATATTGCCAAGCTTGCAAAACTTCAAAGATTGGATTTATCCCTTAACCGATTCTCAGGTGAAATTCCTTCATTCCTCGGAAATTTAAGTATATTAACAGAACTCCGCCTGGACAACAACAATTTTTATGGTAGTATCCCGTCTAGTTTGGGAAAATGTCAAATGTTGAATGCTTTGAATATCTCTCGAAACAGCCTTAGTGGCATAATACCTCCACAAGTTTTTGGCATCTCATCCTTAGCATTGTATTTAGACTTGTCTCACAACCAATTGACGGGTTCCCTTCCTATGGAAATTGGAAATATGAAAAATCTTGGTGAATTGATTGTTGCCAAGAACATGTTATCTGGTGAGATTCCGAGCACACTTGGTAGCTGTGTTAGATTAGAAAAAATTTACATGGAAGGAAACTTCTTTCAAGGGATCATTCCTTCATCTTTAATTTCTTTGAGGGGTATTCAATTTCTAGATGTTTCTTGCAATAATCTATCCGGCCAAGTTCCAGAGTATCTAGGGGACTTCGATTTGCAGTATTTCAATTTTTCTTACAATGATTTCAAGGGCTCGTTGCCAACAAAAGGCATCTTTAAGAATGCTAGTGCAATGTCTTGGATTGGAAACCCTAAGGTTTGTGGGGGTACTCCTGAATTACAGCTTCCTAGATGCAACTTTGAACAATCTAAGAAGATTACCTCCACGTTGACCTTTAAAGTGATAATCTCTATGGTTTCTGTGATTTTGGGTTTAAGTTTGTTGTTGAGTTTTTTTGTACTTTATTGGTATAAAAAGAGCAAGACGGTGCTTTCTTCATATCCACAGAGAAAATCCAATTCAAAAGTGTCTTATCAAAGTCTCCTCCAAGCTACAGATGGGTTCTCTTCAACTAATTTGATCGGTATGGGTGGCTTTGGGTCTGTTTATAAAGGAATTCTCGATGATGGAACAATTATCGCTGTGAAGGTTCTTAACCTTTCGCATCGTGGAGCAACCAAGAGTTTCAAAGCTGAGTGTGATGCCTTGAGGAACATAAGACATCGGAATCTTGTCAAGGTGCTAACTGCTTGTGTAGGTGTGGATCATCAAGGAAATAATTTCAAGGCTTTGGTCTACGAGTTCATGGCTAATGGCAACTTGGAGGAGTGGCTGCATCCAAATCCAAAAGAAAATCGAGATGATATGGTGTTGAAGAAACTTAACCTTCTTCAAAGATTAAACATTGCTATTGATGTTGCTGGCGCACTGGAGTATCTTCACCGTTATTGCCAGACACCTTTAGTTCATTGCGATCTCAAGCCAAGTAATGTTCTTCTGGACAGTGAATTGGTTGCTCATGTATCTGACTTTGGATTGGCAAGATTCCTTCCAATAGCCACCCAAAAATCATCCACAAATCAAACAAGCTCTATTGTCATAAGAGGATCAATTGGTTACACTGCCCCAGGTAAATACATTTCAATATTAAATTCTTATTCTTTGCTTTCTCATCTTCATATTCTTAGTTTTTATGATGCGTTGTATCATTTCATATTAAGATATTACTTGTGTTGTATCATTATTTATTAAGTTACGGTATTTGGCCACATTGACATGTTTTTTCCCCGACAAGTCATTATTAAAGTTTATGCGGAAGAATTACTTTTCAATTGTGCTGCGTACCAATGCCTTTGAATTATAGTTTGATTTTATGATATGCATTCCAGAGTACGGGATGGGAAGTGCATTGTCGACTTATGGTGATGTGTACAGCTTTGGCATGCTCTTGTTGGAAATGTTCACAGGGAAAAAGCCTACAGATGACATATTTAGAGATGGTTTTAACCTTCATAATTTTGTTGAGGTGGCTTTGCCTGACCGAGTTGCTGAAATCGTAGATCCAATACTTTTCCAGGAAATTGAAGAGGCACAAAGCTTAAGTGGCAAAAAAAAATCAAAGCTTGATGAGTAGTCACAAAGCTAAAGAGTGCTTGATTTCTATCTTTGGAGTTGGAGTCGCTTGCTCTGCAGAATCGGCAAGACTTCGAATGGATATTGGTGTTGCTGCTGCTGAGTTGCACAACATCAAATATGTGTTCTTCAAAACTTGAATCCATATATGGAGAGGGATGAACCACAGTAACATTGGAAAATTGTCTAGCTAGGTAGCAGCATGTTTAGGGATTGATCATCATGAAAAGATTATAGAGTGAGTTCTGATCCAAATGTGTAATGACATTTTCTGGTTTATCGCTTCATCTAATCATAGCAAATGAAAAGGACCATAAGCATAATATGTCAACTAATGATTAAATAAAAAACAGGGGAAAACGCAACAATGACCCGTAATATGTATATGTGGCTTACCCCTACTCATATAAGCCACATACACATATGACGGGTTCGTGTTTGGAGATTAGGGAAGACGTAACAAGCACCCTTATAGCCTCCTTCATGTGGTTGAGCTCCTCTTGGATCTCTTTGAAGCGTTGCTCTTAGAATTGCTCGTTCTTTTCCTGCTGGAATGGGGGAAGCTCGTTCTTATGAGTCCCCCTATACTGGATTTGCACTTTCTCGTTTTCTCCATTCTTTCGGCGACGTATGTTGTCAAATGATTGACTGTGCTCATTATTCATCGTATTCTCCCTTAAAGGATTGGGACATTGTGTTCCCTCCGTTGGGGATCATCTTGGGCTGGTTATGCCCAATGCGGATGAGGTTTAACAATTCCTCATTTTCCTGGAGGAGACATTGGTTGTCTTGGTGAAGGGCCTCAAATTCATCATTTGGAGGAGGGTTCGCCATTGGAGGATTAGCTTCAGGATTAGGTAAGGGGTCCTCTTGGTATCTTCTAGTGGTGACTTGTTGGTTTTGTAGACGCATAGGGTTCATCTAATTTCTACTCATGTTGCCCGTAGAAACTATCAATTACTGAAGATATCAGTAGAATTTTTATAGGAACTATCCTTCTCACAGATGGCACCAACTGAAGGTGTGTGTAGCACAGTTGAGTAGAGCTCGTGATCTTTAGGGATTAATGGGTTACTAAATGACTCAGTCAGAGCATCTAGGCTCTCAAGATTTGAACAAGGGAGATGGGGAATGACACACAAAGTATTTATAGTGGTTCACCAGTTCGGGAGCTCGGCTAATTCACTTTGAAGGGAGTCATTTGGTCCAATACAGTTACAACTTCTTTGCCGAAATACAAGACCATTACATTATGTGTGGTACTTGGGTGGAAGCTAGCTGTCTTTTGTGATATTCCTATAAAGATACAGTTGCTTGGGAGGAGGCATCAATCTTAAATTCCCTAATAATCCGTGATGGCCTGAGTGGCTTGAGCCTGGGAAGTCCGAGCTGGATACCCGAGCTCAATTTTAGGTATATTTTGGGTATCATCATTCTTAATTGCGTTTTATTTTTTAAAATTGTTTGATTGTACACTACACAACATGTGCACAACATAATCCTGCTTATAAACACGTGACTCATGCTTAAATCCATAGGAAGGTATAAGTGGCTATAGATCTTCTCTTGCTCTTTAAAATAAACTCATGGCTATAGTTGTCAAATCGTATATTGAAAGACGTATCATTTTTTTAAAATAGTGTATCACATATATATATATTTCTACAAAAAAAGTCATAGACTCAAAATAACATAAGATTTCATTAATATTTCACCAATTATTCAAGGTTCGAATATAGTTCACTAATATTAAAATGCTTTACAGAGGAAGAACCAAGCTTTTTTTGGGTCTGCAACTACACTTGAACTCTTCGCTAGGGATAAACCAGAGAAAGAGGACGAAGAAGAAGAAAAGAAAAAGTCTAGGGTTTTGACTAGGGTAAAGGCCTAAACCTTCAGTTGAACTCTTCGTAGATCCAGAGGATCAAGCAGAAGGCTAAAGACTTCTTTGAGATGAAGAACAATAGAATAGAGAAGAGAATCTCTGTGCAATAATTTATTGCGACGAAGAAGACTGATGTTGTTCATTTTTGCTATTTTTGACTTTTTGGTGGACAGCTTTTGGTTTTCGTCGATCAAAGACGAAAGCCACCTTTATTTTATTTATTTTTAAACTTAGTCACCGAAACAACGTTGTTTTACTGGTTAAAGATTAAAAAACTACGATCCTATGTGAAACGATATCGTTTAAGCCCTAAAAAAATTTAAAAAATATATTATATATTTTTTTATATATCATATATCGTACAATATAGTATAAAAATAATATAAAAACACGACTTGTATCAATTTTTTTTTATATATCAAGACATATCTGCGATATTTATCGCACATCATAGGACATTAATATCTATGCTCATGGCTATATTCAATCTGGCGTTAACACAAAGCCCTCTCAAAAGGGCAACCCACTTCGTCAGGCATATCTGCTGCACCAGTGGCTAAACATGACAGCTGGGGAATCCTACTATTGGCATAGATAGGACCACTGCATGTACATCACATGACTTATTATATGATATTTGGACCATTTATTAATGCTGCTCTTGCCATAACTATCGGTTTATACATGGTGCCTACGAGTTGATTTGATTATTGAATAAGAGATGACACGCAAATTTCAAACTTTCTGAGTTAGGACCACTGCATGAGTAACCGGCCTGTACTAATATGAATTAAATGATATTTGGACTATCTATTAATGCTGCTCCTGCCAGAACTATGGTTTTATATATGGTGTCAAAAAATTTATATGGTTAGTTTTTCTTCAGAGCACTTGTTGGTATACCTATCCACAACGCAAGAGTAACATCCTGTTAGCGAGTGCCAAAAGAAGGAATCACTAGTTTTATTTTTTCAAGCCCTTTAAGAAACAGCTATAATTATAAATCTCACCAAAATTCTCTCACACTTAGAGAGATCAAAACAGATGGAGATTTCCAGCAATACATTCTCTTTTTAAATTCTTTTTTTGGTCCATGTAATTTAAATAAACTCATTGTATATAAATGGATCCTTCACTCATTAATGGTGGATAAATGGACCCCTCATTCATTGAAGAAAAATTATATTAAAGGGGGTTAATTGTATGGGAGGTTCCCAAAATATGACGTTTGTCTCATTTTGGTCTACAATATTTTAATTGCATCATTATGGTCCCTCAAGTACATTTTTTGAACTACTTCCTACAAAGATAATAATGGATTTATTCCCAAAAATGTGTTAAGTGATGGACTTAACTCATTATAAGTTTCCTAAAGAGCACTAAGCCCCAATTATAACTTACTAGAAAATTACTGAAATGCTGGCAAAAGCCAATTCCTTCAAACAAGTTCAAGCAATATTGCTTGGACTGGTTTAATATTTCTCAATGTTGAAAAGGGTGGCATCCCCAACATGTTGGTTCGAGGTGGAGACAACAGCTAATATTTTCTTAGTGGCGGAATATCCTCCCAAGTGGAAATTGTTTGGAATAACTTTAGGAGTAGTTTTTATAATTGGACCATGATTAGATTTATTAATTGTTGCCTATAAACATGTTATAACCATTTGAATTCTAAGATATAGTGAAAAAAAGCCGCTCCTAGGGACGTAGATATAATTTTTATCAAACCACGTAAAATTTATATTATTGTTCTTGATTATTCACCCATGGCACGTTGACAACACTCTATAGGGCTGGCCCAATCACTAGGCCAATAAGGTCTGGGCTTTNTCCGCGGGTTGATGGGTAATCAACGGACCCCCGGATTTTGGGGTGTCACAAGTTTCCTAAAGAGGACTAAGCCCCAATTATAACTTATTAGAAAATTACTGAAATGCTGGCAAAAGCCAATTCCTTCAAACAAGTTCAAGCAATATTGCTTGGACTGGTTTAATATTTCTCAATGTTGAAAAGGGTGGCATCCCCAACATGTTGGTTCGAGGTGGAGACAACATCTAATATTTTCTTAGTGGCGGAATATCCTCCCAAGTGGAAATTGTTTGGAATAACTTTAGGAGTAGTTTTTATAATTGGACCATGATTAGATTTATTAATTGTTGCCTATAAACATGTTATAACCATTTGAATTCTAAGATATAGTGAAAAAAAGCCGCTCCTAGGGACGCATATATAATTTTTATCAAACCACGTAAAATTTATATTATTGTTCTTGATTATTCACCCATGGCAAGTTGACAACACTCTATAGGGCTGGCCCAATCACTAGGCCAATAAGGTCTGGGCTTTAAGCGCACTTTAAAAAAAGTTCTATAATTTTTAGGTGTGTAATAATAGCTCAAACAAAAAATTTAAATCCATAAGAAAAAACCCCCAAAAAAGCTTAGATTTTAAGCCCAAACAAAAGATTTAAACTGAATTGGATTGGGTTTCTTAATTGGGAAAAACTAAAGCTGGTACAAAAATTTAAACTTATTTGAGATAAAATACATTAAAGAAACTTGTTTAGCCCTAAGTACACTTTTATGGAAAAAGACTAAAAGGCCATTCAACACAATCTTCTACTTTCAAAGTGGGCTTTGAATTTCAAAATCAACATCCATTGTTCCACTGTAACTAAAAAATCGGGATTTACCTCCTATTGACGAAGAATAAACCCCAAATTGTTCCAAATCCAACGAAATCATGGGTTTTAGAGGAGAAAACTAAGCAAAATTGTCGGCGATTTGGATTGACTATAGGCTTTATCACCAATAAACGCCAGTGATTTTAGGTTGTTATTATAATTGTCACTGGATTATTATTGTCTTCATCATCTCATCCCTATTATCTTCATTGTCTGCTAAGTTTCATCCCCGACAATTGACGATAAGAATACCTTATTTTAAAAAAAAATTAATAATTCTACTTGATAAAACCGAAAATCATAACTTAAAAGCCCTAATTTGTAACAATATCACAAAAATCACCGTTGATGGTAAAGCAGTTTGTAACTTAAAAGCCCTAATTTGTAACAGTTGACAGTGAACCTATTTGGTATTTGTCATTGTTGTAGCCTTTTGATGTCACTGGATGGTGCAACTATCAAGTGTAATAGTTTGGCTTAATACTTTTTTATATGTACATGTCGTTGATTTATCTGTTTGGTGTCCCTATATATTGTATCTCTTTGAAGTGTTTTTTTGGTTCTCCCATTTTGGTGTATATAATTATGTAACAATGTGGTGATACTGAATGATTTAACTCTTTAGTTTATATAAACAACTGAATGATGCATTGGCTATAGTGTCGTCATTTCCTGTTCCTGTTTGGTGTAACTGTTTGGTCTATGAGACGCATGTGTAACTCTAC